CCCCCGCCTCGATCTTGGGCTCCGGGGCTGGCGGTGCGGAGAGGGAGGGCGGCGGCTCCCGCTGAGGGCCGGGGCAGCGGGCCTGGCCGGGCGGGAGCGGGACGGGGGCGGTGAGGGCCGCGCTCCCTGCTCCCCGGGGAGCGGCTGAAAGCCGGGCGCGCTCACCAGCTGACAGCGCGTGCCCCGCGCCAGACGCCTCCCCGGCCGTGCCGCCCGCGCCCCCCATGCCGCCCGCGTCCGCTCTTCACCCCGGCTCCCCTCCCCGCTGCCCCCCTCTCCCGCTGTCAGATTTAACCCCTTCGGGGCTGCCTCTGTTCTTCAGGGGCCGGGAAGAGGGGAAGGGATCTTGGGTCCGGGTCTGGGCCTAGGTTTGACCCCGAGGCGAGGGCAGCGAGGGACGGCAAAGCCTCTATTTCATCTCCTGCCCAGCCCAGATCCTACCCCTTCCCCCACCGGGCACCAGTCTGGTAGAGAGGTGCGGCTCACGGGTCCCGGCTGTAACTGATGAGCAGGTTTGCGGCTTTCCCTTTCCAGTCCTAACTGGGACTTTAGGCAGAAAGAAAGAGAACTTCCAGTGAGAGGCGAGGCGTGTTACAAGATACTCTTTGATCAAGATTGCTTACCCCATTCAGGTTTAACTCTAAAATCAACCGAAAGGCCTCATCAAAGTGTCGGTCCTGCACTGGTTAAAATTAAGGAGCTCAGCCTTCCTTTTTTTTTTTTTTTTTTCCTAGTCATTCAAGCTCTTCAGCTATCAATGTCCTATAAACAGCGTGCTGTACTTGGCTGTTGCCAAAAATAATCTTCCTTCAGCTCTCCGTGAAATCAAATAAGTTTCCAAAAGTGTGGCGAGCCAAAACCTTCCACAAAGTGATGATGGGGCGAGAGGCAAGCGCAGCGATAGAGCAAGCTGCTTAAAGACTGTAAAACTCTAGAAGGCACCAGCGGTGTAGCAAAGACCTCACCCGATTTATCCATCTTCATTACTTTAAGAAATGCTGCCTCTTTGTTTGTTTGGGTGGTATTCAGCATGCTTAACTTGCGCACATAGTTGATTCCTTCGCTAGTATCTTGGATACTTGGATCTGACTTTGGAAGGTAGAAGCTAATTGGTAATAATGGAGAGAAAGGAACCAGCCAGCATGGCAGGAGTGGTCGGCATATGGGGAATGAGCGCTCAGAAATACTCAATATTCAAGTTTCCAAAATATTAATGAGATTATAGCAACCTGCAGCTATATGTTACAGCTTGTTAATGGAGTGGAAGGGAGCGAGCTGCCAAACATTTGTTATGCAAACTCTATAACAGAACCTTAAAAATGGAAATGGGATGGTACAACTCTTTCAAAGAAATGCCAGCATAAAAAAAGAAAGAAAGAAAAAAAGAGGTTAAAGTTCTCATTTGAACTTTGAGCACTCAATTTACCCCAAAGTGGTTTGACATTTTGTGCTTGTCTGGGTGGGTTAGAAGAACTTGTCTTCACTTTTCAAGAAATGTAAAAGATTTCCTTAAGCGGAAATGAGGTTTATCTCCAATTCCAATATAAAGCCACTAACATTTAAAAGTACAAATACATGCTTACCCTGGTGCTGCACCCCTGTCTCCCTAACATTTCAATAGCGACAGCTCTAACCATCTATTTTCATAGAGAAGAAACTCATTACTCTATCTGGTGAGCAGGAGTACTAAGATTTAGTTCTGGATATTGACGTTTTCTAGGTGTGTGACTGAGGGCAGGAGTTTCCTCATTTATAAAAGATTTGAAGGAAGATGTTTCTAGTGTTCTATTTTGTAATTGCTCTGAGTTCTTGATAAGTCATAACTTTGATGAAGTCATTTTCCTGTTTGGTTGATGCAAAATGCGGATGGATAATTCTAAAGAATAAAATACTTATTTTCTTTGAGGAAGAAAAAAAATTTCCCCACTGTCCTTTCCCTACTTAAGCCTATAAAATGTGAAACAAAACAAAACAAACAACAAAACCTCTAAGCCTATTTTCTCTCTTGCTCTGCACATAAAACAAAATGTACCACGCAGAGTAACAGTAAAACAGACGCACTCACATCCTGCAAGGTGGGTCTGCTCATACCTGTTTGCTTTACTTATTGAGAGTGAAATGGAGATGTGTTAGAAGCAATCGCTTAATTTATTCAGTAGCCCAAAGATTCCTGATGCTTATCTTAGCACCGCAAACTCCGGAGTGCAAAAGGTTATCTGAAGGACTGGTGCACTGTTTCTGTCCCTGGCAGGTGTCGCGAGCCACTGCTCACTGCTCCGGGGAGCTGGTTGAGGCTTCCACGCCCCTGGATCCGTCCTCTGAAAGCTGCGGACGTCCAAGTGAACCGAGGAAGTTGCTGCTGCCGAGGTTCGCTACTCTAGATCAAAACCTGCACTTCGTAGGGCATTACCTTCTCTACAAACCCAGGTGGTGGCAAGATCCCCTTTGCTCAGGACACTCTGATTCTCAGAGGAGGTTGCTGGGCATAACCATACTCATCATTTTTCTTTCTCTCCCCGTCGCCCCGTCTTTCTCTCCTCCACTTCCTTTTTTGTGCTTCCTTTTCCAAAATTTGTTGTTCCAGTGAAGGCACAAAACACATGCTTTTACTTAAATTTAGCTTCTCAAATCCAGCACTGTTCAACATTACTGAATGTTTAGCTTAATAAATGGTCCCACTCTTGTGTTGCCAATAAAATGTTTTAAAAAATTCCTTGTTCTACTCTTTCCATACTTATACTGTATCAGCTTTTTTGAAATCTGTGACCTGAGCCCCAGAAGAGACCTAGTGAGGACACCCAAAGGGGGAGGGACGCACTGTTAACTGTCTGCCGCTGACTTTCCACGGAGTCGATGCTTTCTACATAGAAACCAAATCAGAAGGGCAAAATAAAGGTGGAGGCTAGTTTCTATATTGGAAGAAGTTGGTGTGTGTGCAATAAAAACAAGAGGAAGTCAACAATTTACAAGAACGACTACACTAGACTGAGGCTTTAATTTTTGAGTGAATGATCACCATTTTCTCTTCTCCCTGGAGTTCTTTTCCATTCCCCCCTTTCTTAGGGAGCCTACTCTCTAGGAGAGCAGGAAGGAGGAAGGGAGAGAGAGAGAAAGAGAGAGAGAGAGAGAGAGAGAGAGAGAGAGAGAGTCAGTTTTCAGCCTGGCTTTTTTTTTTTTTTTTTTTTTTATGTCTGTGTATGTGAAAACAGTTAATCCTGATAAACTAGGTAGTAGGAGACCTGAAACTCTCTTCCCTTGAAGAAAGTGTTGGTACCTGGAATAGGAGAGGCTGGAAAATCCCAGCTACCCAAAAGGCAAAACCTGGGCTACAAGTTTGGGACACATTTCTTGCCATTTAGCTATCTGCTCTCCTATTTTTTTCTACTAGAGTTCCTGGTGGTAGTACCCGAAGGCACTACATTTGCAACATTCTCTAAAACCGTTAACTCACATAATTTCCATTTAATGGATGACTTATTTCAAGTTGCTTAGGTCATTAAAAAACTGTTCACCACGGTAAACTGGAAGGGAATAAATAAGCGACAAATAAAAGCTATTTTTCAAGTTTATTGTCATCATTTGCAAAATAAAATACATAAAACAATGGCAGTTGGCTTTGCTAAATTAAAATAAAATGATCTTGAATAGAAAAATGTAAAAAAATGAATCAAGAAAAGTAGAACTGGTAACAAACACTCAATAATAAATAAGTTGTCTAACATTATCAAAGCAAAATAAAATTGACCAAATGCTTTTGACACTACTAGATGTGTTTACAAAATTTTCAGTGTTAAACATTTGCAAAGAGCTTAAAGATCATAGTGGCTATGTTTAGAACAAAACAAAACAAAAAAACTGGTCTGCAATTGGCAGTTGAATTTCTCCTGGAGCTGTCAGCAGCAGCGGCCGATAAAGTGCGTGCGCCGTTTCCTGAAGGACGCAAACGTTCTAGCGATCTGGTACACATACTGGGTATGTTCCGACAATACACAGACCCCTGAAGGGTCTGTTTTCTAATCCCGCAGCAAAAAGGTACTCGCTTTGGAAGCGGTGACTTTGCTATTTATACTGAATGTTGGGAAACAAATTAGGATACAAACTCTCCTACAGACGAGCGCGCGCAATTCCCCAGGGCGGACGCCTGGGGTGGTAAGATAAACCCGAATCAGCGACAGAGGAGAAGATGCGATTTTTTAGCAGCGTCCTGGCAGCAAGGACTACAATCACAATGCCGCGTAGGGGTACATAGAATTATACCGCATCTATCTGTAGGGCAAGCAGAAAGCGGGACGAAAGGCAAAACTTGTACAGCAAGGTTTTGTCAAACAATACGGACACCGGGAAGTTTGGGACAGCGGTGGCATTTGCACACCGTCCAGCGTAGCTGCCATCAGAGGCGCAGTCCTGGCTAAACAACGACCACTGAGTAGCAAAAATTAAGGGGCGCGCGCTTAAGCGCACTGGTAAAGGCAGTTTGCTTCTGCCTCAGTTTTGGGGTTCTAGCCCCTTCCTAACTGGCCTCGTCCGAGTCACTGTAGTGGGAGTGGGGGGAAAATTCCCCGTCGCTCCTGTGAGACCGCGGCGAGGTCTTGCTAGCGTCCTCTGGCCCCGGCTGCAGGATGCCCCCGGGCAGCGAGGGTGATAAGTTTTTTGGCGCCATCATCGCCGTCAGGGAGCCGTCCTCGAAAGGCGAGAAGTGCAGAGCGTCCAGCGGCACCGAGTAGTTTCCCGCAGGGGCGGGGGCCGCGAAGCGAGTCCGGCAGCTCCCAGGCGGGGTGGGGCGCGGGCCGGTTCCCGAGCCTGGCTGCGCCCCTGTGGCTGTGGCGGGACCCGGGCCGCCCTCGTAGGAGGCCGCCCCACGGAGGTGGTGGTGGTCACTTTTGCAGGAGGCCGCAGGCGGCGGGGGCTGCTCCCCGCCGCTGGGCGTTTGCAGCAGCTCGGACAGGGCGTTGATGTAGATCTGGGCCATCTGCAGCGTCTCGTATTTGGACAGCTTCTTGTCGTTGTTGAAGGACGGAATAACGTTGCGCAGCTGGTCGAAGGCATGGTTCAGGCCGTGCATCCTGCGCCGCTCCCTGGCGTTGGCCGCCAGTCTCCGCTGCTTCTGCACCCCATTCACCTGCTTGCTGGAAGGGGCTCGCTGGCGGCTGCAACCCAGCTCGTCCACCACCACCCCGCCTTTCAGCTTGCACAACTGTTCCCGCACTTTCACGGGCCCGGGGCTCTTGCTGAGGCCGCCACTGTTCCTCCTTCCCAGCTCGCCCCGGCCGTCGGCCTCCTCCAGGGGCGCCGCGGCCTCAGGGGCGCCCAAGTCGGCCGAGTGCAGCAGGTACTGGGCGGCGCGTGCCGTACAGATGCCCTGCAAGGCTGGCGCCAGCCAGGCGCGTGGGTCAGTGCCGTCCAGGAGGGACAGCTCCGCCGGGTACACCGGGTGCTCCCTCGCCTGCAGGTTGGCAGGGGGCTGTGGCGCGGATTGCGGGAGGTGGTGGGTCTGGGGATGGCGGCGGTGGTCCCCCACCTCCTTCACCTCGGCCCACTCTTCCGCGTGCAGCAGGCGGGACATCGCACCGCGAGGCAGAGGTGCAAGTCGAGGCGGCGCGGCCACCCGGCTGCGGCAGTGCGCCCCCTCCCCACTCGCGCACCGAGTCCTGCTCGAGCCTCCGCCGCCGCGGCGTCTCCTGTTTGCTCCTCCTCGACTCTGCCCCCACTCAGAGATCACACACCGGGTCGCGTGCAGGGAAGCTTCTCCGGTTGCTGAAGGCGCTGCGCCCTTTAAAAAGCGGCACGCGCCGGCCGCCGCCCGCTCCCCGGCCCCTCCGCGCGCCGGTCGCGTGTCTGCGCAGCCAATGGGGGCGCGGGCCGGCGCGTGCGGGCGGCCAATCAGCGCTGCGACGCCCGGGAAAGTCGCGGGGCGCGAGGACACGCCGCGGGCTCCGGCGGTTTTTTTTTTTTTTTTTTCCTCTTCTTCCCTCTATTAAGTTGGTGAAATTCATATGTTAATCACGGGGCTGTAATCCGACTCCAGGCGTGTCGCAGCGCGGACTGTACGGCGGGCTCCGGGCGGGCTGGGTCGAGCCAGGCGGAGCGCAGCCACCTCCCCGAGCGCCTGCAGACCTGAGCGCCTCGCCCCGACGGCCTGGCCGAAGCGCGTGCGGACGCGGCGAGTCCCTGTGACCGCAGCTCCGTAACTAGCGTGGAGCGACTCCGCCTCTAGTTTAACAGGAAAATAAGAGGAGGGAGGGACATGAGTTGTTTCCAAATAAGTTCCTTAATTTTACCACCTCTCTACCGCTTACCTTAGCAGATCTTACTGATCCTACTACGCAGTCCCGTCCACAACAAGTGAGGCTGTGATGTAGTGGCTCACGGGCAGCTCCCGGTCTGCACCATGCATGATCCCGTGGCTCAGTGATGCCCCCACCCCACCCTCAGAAACCTCTTTGCAGATTGTAATTTTACAGCAAGGGTAGTTGACGGAGTTATGCAGTTTTCGCACAAAAACAGCAGGACTCCTGACTAAACGCACTGCAGAGGGCGGTGGCCAAGTTCAGATGAAAGGCGCCCTCGTCCCCTGCGGGTCCCAACACTTTGGAGCCAGAGCTGTCCGTCCCTCTGCCACCGTGGCCTCTGCTGACGACTGCGGGAGCGTCGTTGTCGCACGCCCAGAAGTCAAAGTTTAAGTCACCTCTCCGAGCCTGCTTAGTCGGGGGTGGACTCCCGCGGCGTGGACTCGGGAGGTCCTGGTCAAGGCTGGAGGCCAGCACCAAGAACACACCGCTCCCGCCGGCCGCGTTCGCCCCGTCGAGTCTGTCTGCGCTCGGCGCTGCGCGGGGCAGGAGCCGGGCGGGCACGCCTGAGCCTGCAGTCCGCGCTCCCTCGCTGTCTCGGGCCCGGGAATGGGTCGCTACCAGCTGCAGCTGAGGCTGCTTCCGACTCCCGCGGGGACGATCATGGGGCAAGAAGTTTCATAGACTAGAAAAGAGGATGACAAGAGGAGCAGCATGGATTGCGCTGGGAAAGGTGTCATTGCAGCCCTAAAGCAGCTAGAAGATGTGCTCGTGGAACTCACAGGGTCCGGGTCCAGCTCGGAGACACAGGAACTCTGCCACCAGACTGAAGAGTCCTGTCTCCTATCAGACATCGAAGGTCACACCGCGCGCCGAAATGACGCCTATCCTGTACCTGTTTCTTCTTCAACCTTCTCTCTTTACTGGTGTGTGTGGGTGTTTGGGCGCTGCTGAAGGAAATATGTTAAAGACAGGCAAACTCAGAAAAAAGCCAAACCTCAACTTTAAAAAATGATGAAAACAAAAAGAAAAGGTCATCTTATGCTGCGGAGGTGGGGGCAAAAATTCAATATTTTGGTAATTGGATTGGGTATTACTGAAATCAACTAATAATGCTATTACTAAAAACGATGCCAGGGTATAAAATGTGCCACTTCAAAACAAACAGTACTAGTAGATGTGGATGCCAAAATGAAACTTGGAGACGCCAGATTGACCGCCCTCTGCGTATGCACCACAGGGCGACGGGCTGCAAAGGACTGTCTCCGCCCACCGTGTCTGTGATGCCCCCCCCCCGTGTCGATTTTCCCCAGCCGTGTCAGCTGAAGGGTTTCCTCTGAAAGTTCTGCCTTCCTCATACTCCAGCTACCAAATGCGTAGGATGTGCGGTTTCCCAGGGCCTGCGACCTTCAGACTTTAAATCTATACTTTAAAACTGCAAAACACTAGTTTCCCTTTGGGCTTACTTTGATAGTCTTATAATATTTATTGAATAAATGGAATGTTGGTCTTAATTGGCCTGCTCTGTAGATAGCCATTAATATTGCTACTTTTTGAAATCAAGTCTCATTTTCTAAGTGAGAAAATCAGAGTATTCCGATAGCATAAGGGATTGGAAGAATTTCCGTCACTTGTGACTTTCAAATAAATAAGGGCTGGGTTTCTTCCCTTCCCTTCAGTCTTGTCTTCTTTCTCTCCCGTCAGGTGTGGCTGACAGAGCTGGGGGCTGAGGTGGGAAAGAGCAGCTCCCTGTGCAGGGGCTTAGAGCATGAGTAACATGGAGGTGTCCCTGAAGAGGACCGGATGGGACCTTCAGGAAATACAGGGGTGGCATTGGGGGGCTACATGGGGCAGAGTAGCCAGGGCTGAGGGCCTCTGGGGGTGGGCTGGATTAGGTCAGTGCAGAGGGCTGAGGAAAGAAATCAATATTCATTAGGAGAGTGAGAATAGGTCTCTTACTACCCGAGAAGGGAGTTCTGAATAGGAAAGTGGAGGAAGCTGTAGTGGTGAATTGAAATTGGAGATTTTATATGAATTTATGATTTTCAATAGATGTGAATACATGATATAGGAATGTAGGAATGGTGTATGTATATAGTGTACCTGTATACATTTCTGTTTTTTTCTCTCAGACACTGTAAAAAATGTATATTTAATTTCCTGAGTTTAGCTTCTAAATAAAGTTCATCAAAAGGAGCCAGAGGTCTTAGGAAAAAAATGGATTGATTATAGACATGGGACAGAAAAACAGACAATATATCTGCAACCCCTTACTGAGTCAGAAGTAGGGAAATGCTCAAAGAACAAGGAGGAGTGCAGAAATTTGCTTGGAGAGTTTCATATAGGCTACTTGGCAAAATAAATCAGATTAGCAACAGTTACCAACCCCTGTAACATAAAGAAACTAACCCTGAAGAATATAAACAGAATAAGCAAAGTCTGGAAGAGTTGATAAATACTGATCTCAGTTACACATGAGAGAAAGATTGACTGTGTTGTGGAGGTGGAAAACACCAACTGAATCAAGCAATCAACATTAGCTCACCAGAAATGAAGCAAGATGGATCGGTGAGCTCTTTCTTAGGACAAAGTGGACACAGCAGCACTTCTAAGATGTTCCTGGTATGAATCCAATCAAGAGAAAACACCCACCCATTCTAAACTGAAACAGATTATAGGAAGTAACTACTTTATAATCTAAATGTACCAGGATTATAAAAGGCAAATAAAATCTCAGGAAATACTCCAGGCTAGAATGGGGTCTTTACCTGATAAAGGATATCATTGGAACAATGGACAAAACTTGCTTGTTAGTTGATTTTGATGATTGTGTTGTGATTTTATAAGGTGATGTCCTCCTTTGTGGGGAATACTCACTCATGTCTAATGGGGCAGTTTACTGACATTATGAATAGGTTTTTGGTTCTGTATTATTTGTAACTTTTCTGAAAGGTTGGGAATGTGAACAAACCAGTGTGATGGCTCATACCTGTAAACTTGGGAGGCTGAGGCAGGGGGATTACTGTAAGCTTGAGGCCACTCTGGGCTGCATAGTGAGTTCAGGCCTGTCCTGAACTACACAGCGAGACTGTCTCAAACAAATAACAAATAAACAAACGAGTACATGATTACACAAAATACAAAATACGGTTGGTTCTTTACACCTCTAGAGTTATTAATTCAAGTCAGTCCGACCATCATACCCGAGTGTTGACATTTGTAGTTATTTCTAAAACTTTAAGTGAAAAGTTGTGTTGCCCAGTGACAGCAAAGTATGAATTTATGAGTTTTCAGGTTTTAATAAATATTTAAATTTTAGAACCCTCAATATTTCCTAAGGGCTGAAAAATTTTGAATATTATTTTGAAATACAGGCATGATAAATTTATTTATGATCTTATACAATCAATATTTGTTTTCTCTTGCTACATGCATCTGTAGCATACTTAAATATTTTTATAAATGTCACTAATAAAATTAATGTGTGGCTCATAATTTATGGATTACAAGAAATATTTAATGCTCTTTATTATAAAATCTCTGTAACCAATTAATTCACAAAACCACTGATTTCATTGATCGTTGCCGTCCTTGTATCTATTACTAATGGACGGCTGAAACTTATGAATGAATAAATGCAATTTCCACATGAATGTTGGTTGATATTTTTCATTTGTTCCTACAAAGAAAAAATGAAAGAAATATGAAAATATACGTCTGAATTCACTTGGGATCATTAACGTGAGCAACTTTGCTGAGTAGGATGAAAGCTCCCACAGGCTGGAAGAATATGTGCTCGGTCTGCAGTGCTCTTCACTGTGAAATGGCTGCAGACTTTAACATCATTTTACAAAGAATCTTCAGCATTTTCTCAGTCATGGTTTTAAGCAAACTGGAAAGCAGAACCAAAAAGGAGGCTCAGACTGGTAGCATTTGCTAATTTCTATGACTGTAAATACTCATGTTACTCAATCAATGAAGATTTTTCTGGAGTTCACTTAATTGATACAGTTGAACACATTCTTTTCAAAGCTTGTCTGCCTTGTGGGCTGCATAGTCGGTGCTACTTCTCTCTGTTTCTCAGGCTACTCTTTCTCAGTCACCCTCTGGGAGACCAAGTTTCTAATGATTTGGTTCTACACTCTCATTTCCTCGTATCCTGCACATCCAAACCACATGCAAATTAATACCAACTTTTAAGAACCTTTAGTCTGGTCCCTTTTCACAAGCACCAGTTAGAACAGAAGCAGCTGCATCAAGAACAGCAGTAAGGCTC